AATCGCGAGCAACAAAATCGTAGACGTGAAATCAATCGAGATATCTCAATAATTTGCAGTTTAGAGGTGTTGTGCTAACTCTGGGTGGCTAGGGGCGGTTTTTGAAGGGTCGGGGGTGGAGCAACATAATCGGCAACTGAGCAACAAATTAGCAACAAATTAGCACAAAAAGATCGTGTGCCATTTTTTATTTAAAAAATTTTTTTTATGTGGCTGTGCTAACTTTATTCTTAAGTTAGCACAGCCATTGTTTCCTCGGAATTGGCTGGAGCAACAAAATCGGGAATTGAACAACAAATTAGCAACAAAAAAGCACTAAATTTCTGTGTAGGTTTCGTTCGATTGTGCTGAAGTGGCTGTGTCAGCTTAATAGACGTATCAGTATGCGACTAAAAGGGAAGGCGCTTGAGTGGCTACACTCGAAGTCAGAACATGTGGATATGACTTTCGATCGTCTTCTGGAAAAACTGAGAGCCATGTTTTTCCGTCGACAAAGCAAGTTGGTGATACGCAAGAAATTCGAAGAACGCGTGTGGAAAAAGGAAGAAACATTCTACGAGTATTTCCACGAAAAAGTTATCATGGGTAATCGAGTACCAATCAACAGCGACGAAATGCTCAAGTACGTAATAGATGGCATTCCAGATGAGACGCTCCGGAACCAGGCGCGTATACAGCATTTCACAACAGCTGATGGACTCTTGGAGGCGTTCGGGAGAGTGACCCTTCGGGATCGAGGCACATTCAGCACATCAAAGTTAGCAAAGTCGGATAAGCGAGCTAGTGATCAAAGCAAAAATGAGCATAAAGAGATGAGCAACAATGGTGAGGTAAAAAAGTCTTCAGGTAAAGTCACGCATTGTTATAATTGTGGTGAACGCGATCATGTGAGTTTGAACTGTCCGAGTAAAGAGCAAGGCGCCAAATGTTTTCAATGCGGAGAGCGTGGACATATTGCGTCAAAATGTGTAAAAAAAGTAAAGGCGAATAAAGAGAGTTGCGCGGTATCAGAGGTTTTACATCATAAATATTTAAAAGGTGTTTCACTTAACGGTTACGAGATGGAAGCATTGATAGATTCGGGAAGCGACTTTAGTTTGATTCGCGCGGATGAATATATCAAACTCGGTTTGCCGCGATTGCAATCTAGTAATCTACTGTTTGATGGCATAGGCTCAAGTAATAACGCGACGTTAGGAAAGTTTCAAGCTGAGCTCACTGTAGACGAACACTCATATCCAGTTTGCATACATGTGGTGTCGGATACTATGTTACGACACAAATTATTGATAGGTACTGATTTCTTAGATTCAGCCGAAAGAAGGATGACTCATTTAGACTATGCGTGGATTATCGATCGATAAATAAAAAGATTATTAAGGATAGGTACCCGTTACCATTAATCGAGGACTAATTAGACATGTTACAAGGTGAATGCGTCTTTAGTACACTTGATCTAACAAATGGATTCTTTCACGTTCGGATGGATGAATCAAGTCGAAAGTACACCGCATTTATTGTGCCAGACGGCCATTATGAGTTCTTACGAGTTCCTTTTGGTCTTTGCAATTCGCCGGCGGTATTCCAACGGTTCGTAAACGCAATATTTAGAGACCTTACCATATACGTGAAAAGGTAGTTTTAGCTTATATGGACGATCTGATCTTCCCATCCAATGATATCGAGAGTGGTATTAAGAATCTAAAAAGAGTACTAGTCACCGCTAGTGAAGCAAGACTAATTAATTGGAGAAAATGTTGTCTTTTACAAACCTCTGTCGAGTTTCTAGGTCGTATAATTAGTAATGGTGGCGTTCGTCCTTCGAATCGTAAAATCGAAGCAGTCCGACGATTCCCCCAGCCCACCAACGTCAAACAAGTGCAAAATTTTCTCGGGTTAAGTGGATATTTTCGTAAATTCATTCCTGGATATTCCATAATCACACGACCTTTATCGAATCTTTTACGCGCTAATGTTGAGTTTCGTTTTGGAATAAATGAGAAGGATGCGTTTATATGACTTAAAAGTATGTTAACCGAGAAGCCAATATTAAGCCTATATCGAGCCGAGGCGGAGACAGAATTGCACACTGACGCTTCTGCATTAAGGTATGGTGCAATACTCCTTCAACGAAATAGTGTAGATCAACATTTCCACCCTATCTATTATAGCGGTAAAACGACTCCTGCCGAGACGAAGTATAGCAGCTACGAACTAGAAGTTTTAGCAATAACGAGAGCGTTGCAAAAGTTTCGTGTCTACTTACTAGGAATTTCGTTTATAATTATAACCGACTGTAGTGCATTTACGCTCACTGTGAGCAACAAAGATCTCTGTATACGCGTGGCGCGATGGGCTTTACTTCT